TCCTGGGCTGAGTCCCTGAGTCTCATCTCGGCCTCAGGCCCCCATCCCGTGGGCCCAGAGCAAGAGAGGGAGCCCCTTCACCCGTTCCTGCCTCCCAGGGAGCCCCCAGGGCTGGTCTGGAACCCCCTCCCCCTAGACCAGCTTCTCCCAGGGCTGGAGAAGGTTGTGCTGGTCTAATGTCTGCACATCTCATGTTCTCAGAGACATCCTGGTCAACCCTGAGTAGCCCCAGGAAATGTGCCCTGGGCAGGGCACCCGGGCTCCAGTGACCCGCCCGTGGCCATCAGCCATGCTCCCTGGTCTGGTTGACTTCATGAGGCCCGACAAGATAGAGAGACACATAGCCACGCAAAGGGGCCTGATTGTGGCTGGGGGGTTGCAAACAGCCTTCAGTACAGCAGCTGAGGACAAAGACCCCTATCTTGGCCCCTCCCCCACACGCACACACGTGCATACAAGCACACACACGTACACACACACGCACACACAGCCAAGGCCTGCTGGGTCTGGGCTTTGAGTCCCGGGAACCAGGCTGCGAGGCCCAGCCCACGACGCCCACTGCGCCCTCCCAGCTGTGCATCCTGGGCTGTCTGAGATGCTTAATGTCTCCAAGCTCAGTTCCCCTTCTGTGAAATGTGCTCGCAACAGGCCTGCCACGTGGGGTTGTTGTGGGAATTCAATGCAGTGATGTTTGAGCTAAGGTTGGCAAGTACCTGAACGTACTCCACACATGGGGGGCTCGGCAGCTGTTGAGACCTTGATGGGGGAGGGTCTGTGCCAGGCGAGGGTCCTGCATGCCCTCACTCAGGGGTGGACACCAGTGCAGGGGGAGGCGAGGGGCAGGTGCAGGGGAGACCGCTTTCACCCATGGCTCCCCTGTGCCCAGGGCTGGCCTGCTCCCGTCTGATGGCCCTGCTGCCGCCCCCACATCAATTACAAGCTCTTAGTCACGACTTCCTGCCAGGACTCCTCTCTGCGGCGGAAGGAAGCACAGCCTTGTCACCGATTGCCCGTCCCCCTTCCTCAAGGCCACAGCTGACTCTGAGGCTGGCAAGGGCAGGTTCTGAGGGTGGCGGACACTGGCCCGGAGTCCTTGGCCTCTGAGGCCCAGCCTGGGCTCCGTCGGGGAGGCAGATGGCCAGCAGTGCAAGGGGCACATTTACAACCAAAGGATGGAGCTTTGGCACAATCACGCCTCAGAATGAGAAAGAAAAGCCACACTCTCTTGCAAAATTGATGTTTATTTACCAAACAGATATTTTGTGCCAGGCCCTGTGCATCGACATTCAATACTTCCAGACCCCTGAGAGGAGGGCGTGTCAGTTATCTGCTGCTGCCTAACAAATTACCCCAAAACTTGGCGGCTTAGAACAGCAAACACGGATAAACTCATACGTTTTCTGAGGGTCAGGAACACAGGACGGAATCAGCTGGGTGGTCCCAGCTCAGGGTCTCTCTTGGACCTGCAGTCAGGACCTCAGCCTGGCTGAAGCAGCCCCTCTCCCCATGGTACAGTCACGCAGCCAGGTGGCTGGTCCTGGCTGTCAGTGGGGCCTCAGTGCCACTCCACAACTGCTTGGGCTTCCTCCCAGCATGGCAGCTGGGTCCTGAGAGCCAGTGTCTCAGGTGAGCAGGGCAGTAGAGTGGCATTTTCATGACCAAGCCTTGGAAGTCACATGGGACCCCTCAGTGGGAGGGGTAGCCAAGGAATTTAGGGCCATGACCTAAAGCTGCCATACCCATGTGTGACAGATGAGGAATGAGGCTCAGAGGGAGGAGATGACTCGTCCAAAGTCACACAGCTGTTGAAAGCTAGAGCCAGGTGCCTAGTCTGACTCTGGACCAGTGCTGAGGCCACTGACCACTGCAAGCACCTTCAGGCTGTATGCAAATCCCAAATTCATCCTCTGAAAAGGGGCCACTCCAAATGGCTGCTGCAGCAATTTCTGAAGAGCCAGCACCAGGTGACTCCCGCTGTGGGTCCCTGCCATTGCACACTTGCTGGTTCTGCTTGCCGAGAAAACCTGCGTCCTCGGCTGTTGGTGTGCAGGATTTGGGGAGGTCTCCATGCCGATTGGCAGAGTTTCTGACCCCCGTCCTGGAGTCCCCACCCTGGGGGCCCATCAGGATTATCGCATCCGTGATGGAGGACGCTGCAAGGAAAGGTGTGAATCCAGGAGCTGCACTGGCCGGCTGGGTGGCCCTGGGCAGTCACTCACCTGTCCTGAGCCTGCTCTTCTTGTCTGCGAGGCAGGAGCATCTGCTGACCTCTCGGCCAGCATCTCTAGATGGAAACTCACTCGCTGGCCTGAGCAGACGGGTACTCGTGGCTCCCTTAGTAGGAAAGTCTGGCCCAGGATCCAGGCACCTCCCAACACCAGCTCTCTGACCCGCTTCCTGTGTGGACTTCCTCCTCAGGCAGGCCCGCCCACCTGGTGATCAGTGGTCACCAGCTGCTCCTGGCTCCCATCCCACCAGCCAACAGTCAACAAAAGTCCCAGGACTGAGTCTCATTGGCCAGCTCAGGTCACGTGCTCACCAAGATTCAATCATCCTGGCCAGGGGACAGTGTACTCTCTGCTTGGCCAGGCCTGGGTCATGTGCCACCCTGAGCCAATCACTGTGGTCAGGGGACAGCATGCTCTCTGATTGGCCAGGCCTGGGTCATGTGCCACCCTGATCCAATCACTGTGGTCAGGGGACAGCATGCTCTCTGATTGGCCAGGCCTGGGTCACATGTCCACCCTGGGATCGGGACAGTGGTCCAGGCCCTCGAAATACCTGGACTGAGCAATGGGGACCTCAAAAGAAAACTGGGCTGCTATTAGGAAGAAGGTGGGAATGGACACCGGGAAAGCAAAGGCAGTGGGCGTCCAGCCGACCCACCTGGGGGGTAGTACTCCCTTTATTACTGTATGTGCTCTAGTGAAGCTGGGCTGCCTTCCCAGGCTGGACACTGGGTGGTAAAAGTCACCACATCCTTACAGCTGAGTTGCCCCCTCACCCTCCCACACAGCCCACTGAACCTGCCCACTGGCTGGGCCCCAGGGCCACCGCCTCCCGCTGTCTCTGTCCACACTTGCTCTCTGGGATGGCATCCCCTAAGGGCTGCCTCCACTGCTGTCTGCTTCCTGTTGGTGGGAAGGGAGGGTCTTCACACCTCCTCCCCCTCCCCAATTCATGTGCTCTGGGAGCAGCTACGTCCCTCTAAGGCCACAGCTCTGGGAAGGGACCCTTCCTCCATGCCCAGCTCACCAGGCCCCTTGCCCTGCCCTGGACGGGGGCTGCCCCCTGGGCCACCAATGCTGCCCCCTTGTGGTGCGCAGACCCCCTCCCACTCTTCTTAGCTGACCTCTCTGTGTCTTCCACCTCCCTGGGGATCTCAACTGACCAGCCTGCACTGGCTTCGCCCCTGAATGGAGCCCAGAACTGTCCAAGGCTTTCTGCCACTGAAACCACAGTCTGGTCACTCAGGACTTGGTGGCTGGGTCAGGACACGGCTGACACACACCCTCCTGCCTTGGGACCCACGACCCCCCGACCTCGCAGCCCTGCTGCCTCCCAATGTGGATGGAGGGGACTGCTTCTCTGGTGTCCTCTCCATCCCCACCCAAAGAGACCAATGTTGGCCCATCGGAATTCAGCAGTAGCCAGGTTACCATGGTGATGCCTATTATCCCTGCCTAACAGGAGATGAATCAGGAGCTAAAAATAGGCCCCCAGAGTGGATGGATGGAGGGGTGAATGGACAGATGGCTGGATGGGTGGGTGGATGGACGGATGGATGGGTGGATGGAGGGGTGGATGGGTGAATGGACAGATGGATGGATGGGTGGATGGATGGATGGATGGATGAAGGAGTGGACGGGTGAATGGACAGATGGATGGATGGGTGGGTAGATGGACGGATGGAGGGGTGGGTGAGTGGGTGGGCCTGGATTCAGGGTCGGGACAATTTGTTTTTCCCAAACAAGATAATTCAAGGAAATCTCAATTGGAAACCCACCCCCACAGAACTGGGAGCTCTGGCAGGTGGTGCCCTCTCCCCTGACAGCACGTAGCACATAGCGCATAGTAGATCCTCATAAAGCCGAGTGCAGGCTGAAGTCACGTGGAGGCCCTGCGTGGCAGCCCTCCTCCCCTGAGCCTGGCTGGTGCAGATTTCAGGCTGGGGGTCACAAGAGGCCAAAGGGAGGCCACTCGGGGGTGGAGTCAAGTGGGGCCCTTCAGAGGTCAAGCCTCACCCTCAGAGCACCTAGCATTCCTGGAAGGGCCCTTCGCTCAGTCCAGGAAGGTTCCTGTGAGCCTGAGTCTAGAAGATTCCCTGCTCCAGTGTGGGGGCTAGAAGGGGGCAGACTCACCAGCCCAGCCCTCAGGGTGCAGTCCTCTGTGGGGGTAGGGAGATGGGGGGCAGTAAAGGCCCAAAACTGCTGCTGTAAGGACAAGATGACACTTTATTACACCTCAGCACCACCCCCCACGGACCCCACAGAAGGTGCTGAGGCCAGAGGGGGCATAGGGACACCAGGTGAGGCAAAGAGGAGTCTGCCTGTGGGGACAGGACAGGGGTGTTTTCTCAGTGACCAGACACCGCCTGCAGCCCCCTCCCCCCCGAAGATCAGATGCACAGCAGAAACCCCCGGTCCACACCCTCCCCTTCCCTTAGGGGCAGGTCCCACCCCCGGCTGAGCTGCCAGACAGCCTCCTGCTCTCTTAGGACCCTCTTCTCACAGCCGCCTGGCTGGGGCAGGGCCAGGCACGGGGGCTACTGCCAACACCACACTTCAGCTCCTGCTTCCGGGCTCCCCACGGGCCTGGGTTTGCTCATCCTTCAGCGTGGGGGCCCAGAGGCTGACCCAGGCAGCAGGATCGCAGGAGGATGAGGGGTAGGCTTGAGCTGGGGGATAGGAGGCTTCTGGGGGTGGTGCTAGGGGACCCCAAGGGTGCGGGAGATGGAGACTATGGATGCACTCCTGGCTGCCCTCCCTCTCAGGGTATCCTCACAGGGCTGAGCCTGAGCCAGCCTCTCGGCGGCGGGTGCCGAGGCCTCGCAGAGGCAGGTCCTTGTGGCTGTAGTATTCCACCACCTACTTGGGCACCTCGGGCAGCACACACTTGGCCAGCGCCGCTGGGGACGCCTGTGGGGTGAGGACAACGTGGTTACAGCCGGGGGCCTTCCCCATCCTCCGTCTCCACCTGGTCATACCCCCAGCCTCATCCTCTAGAGCCCGGCCCTCCTCACTGTGTCTCCACCTCTAGTGGTGGTGGAATCAGCTCAGGGGACCTCGCCCAGGAATTCACCTGCTGAGGATCCAGACCTGAAACTAGGAGACTGCAACGCCCACGGCAGTCTCGACAGCAGTGACACCATGAGTGACATCTAACGGGCTCAGGGCACTGTCCTGAGTGGCATTTGTGTTCATGGGACCCCATCCACCCCTCAGGTAGGTGGGCACACAGGAAAAGTGGCTGAGGCAGGAAGGGAGGTGAGGCCGCCCCCCACGCTCCCCCAGGAAAACCACATGTGTGTCCATGGGACATGTGTTTCTGACTGTGGCACAAAGAGGTCTGGAAGCAATTCGGGGAGGCTGTGTGGAGGACCACAGGAGCCCATGTGCTACCCTCTCTCCATTGTGAAGGTTTGACATTTTTCATAATAGAAAGGGTTCTAGGTGCTTGAAACCTGCTGAGGTCAAGGGGGAGGGGCAGGAGGCGGCCTGGGAACCGTCGCTCAGCCCGTCTCTCCCACTGCCCAGGTGGGACCTGCTGCACATCCCCCCAGCCCAGAGCCTGGCGCACAGTCCAGAGACATGTGGGCACCTCCCCGGCAGCCCTTGACCTCCGGCTCCTCCCAAGCACTCATGTTGTTAAGCTTCCGGAAGGGCACGAACTGCACGATGTCGCGGAGCGCAGGCTCGCCCCTAGGGGAACACAGGACGCCATCGTCCCCGTCCAGGACGTGCATATCGGTAAAGTCGGCGTTGCCCACTCCCACGATGATGATGGACATGGGCAGGTGGGAGGCGTGTACGATGGCCTCCCGCATGTCCGCCATGTCAGTCACCACGCCGTCCATCGGAATCAGCAAGATGTAGTATTCCTGGGGGCACAGGGAAGGAGTGGGGAGACCCCGCAGTCCCTCAGGCCCTTGCGGACTGCCCGGGGCCCTTCAGGGCAGCCTGTCTACCCCCAGCAACCCCCCAAGTTCCCCACACCAGCCTGGGAGTGACCACAGGCTTTCCTAAAATCATTTTCGCTGAAGCATAATACACACTTCACAGTCATAATAAATCACAAGCCCGTTCTCCGCGGCACATGCTGTGCTTGATGCTTCCACCTCTCTCCTGACTCCATCTGGCCTCTGACTCCAAGGCGGATGCTAGAATGCCCACATCTGACAGATGGGGAGACTGAGGCTGGTGGAGCCAGGACTTGAACCCAGGTTGGAAGCCAGAGAAGGAGGGATCTGCAAGTCCTGGGTGGGAAGGGGCTCCCCACACCCTGAAGAGACCTTGAGATCCAACAAACAATTCAGAGAGGACACACTCTGGCCCAGCCTGGCTGGGCGCCCAGCACATCTACAAGAACACAGACTGGGACTCGTTTCAAATAAAAGTCCATTTCCATTGTAAAAAGAAACAAAACCACTCGGTGACCGTTACTAAAATTCTGGACAAGAGAAAACATAAACGAGAAGGAAGAATGACCACGGAGCTCTGGCCCCTGGAAGGCTAGGCTGTCCACCAGCTGGCCCAGGCCCTGGCCGAACGGGCACCCGGCACTGCAATGTGGCCAGGGGAAAGGAACCAACGGACAGTCCAACAGGCTCAGACGCCACCCTCTCCAAGAGGCTGCCTGCTGCCCCATCTCCATCTCCCCTCTCTGAGCCCCCGGACCCGTGGGATGCGTTACCCATGTGCTCAACAGTCTCCCGTTCAAGGTTAGAAGCGCCCCCAGAGGTGCCCAGCTGGGCTCCCAGCCCCATGTAAACGCCCCTCCTTAGGAAACCCCCCACACCCTCCTCCCGTCCCCCAGACTCGGCCTGGTGCCCCATTAACACCTCACAGCCCTGCGCTTTGCCAGCTGTGCAAACACAGCGCCATCACCCGCTGAACGGAATGGAAGCCTCGTGGTGAGCACAAGGCCTCCAGTATTGGACAATGGGTGACGCGGTTGGGGCTCTGGGAGGGAAGAAGGGACAGTGCTTTTCCACGAGACTGAAGAAGACGGGTGGTGGGAAAGTCGGGTGGAGGTGGGTCCCAGGATTCACACCCAGTGTCTACCCACGGCATCAACGTGGGTCCAGGGGAAACTACTTAACTGCCCGCGGGAACCCCTAGGAAGGATCTGGGCCGAAGGAGAGAGGCAGAACTGAGGACCTCCTAGGGAGCTCACACCACCTCCCAGAAAGTCTGGCCGCCCATTTACAGGACTCAGAAGAGAGGGACCTGTGAACACCACCGGGAGGACGCCACTGACACACCCCATTTCTTCAACAGCTGCACTGCGAGCAGGACTAGTGTGGATGGCGGGGTCCTTCCACCCCACACATTGTGGGTCTACCCGTAAACACCACCCCGACGTGAAGGAGACAGTAGAAGTGTGTGCTGGATACTGAATACTAAGGAATGGCTGTTGTCCTTCAGGTGTGATAATGTTATTGTGGCCACATCTCATCTCTTTTAGAGTTTATACTGACATTTACAGATGAAATTGTGTGTCTGGGACTTGCTTCAAAATCATACGGAAATATGACAACTGAATGTAATCTTTGATTTTAGACTCGATCCTTTGCCAGCAATAATATTACTATAGAATTATTATTGGCATGATTAATTAAATTGGAATATATTCTGTAGATTAGATAAAAGTATTGTATCTAAATTAAACTTCCTGAAATTGATATTTGTGCTGTGGTTATACAAGGGAACACTCAGGATCTTAGGAAATACACACTGAAATCCTAAGAGGTGAAAGGATGAGATGCAGCAACCCTCGGCTTTTGGGGGCTCCATGCCGGGAGAGCAAGCGTAAAACATGGGGCCACCCCCATGCGGGATGTGGGATGCATAGCAGTCCAGGCAACGGGACCACGGGTGGCTGGAGTCCAGACAGAGCACAGCTGAGGAACAGCCCCAGTCAGGAGACCAGGACACTGGCAGGTCCGTCCTGGGATGACGGGCGAACGTGGACACGGGGTGGGGGGGAGACACCAGGAGGGGTTGCCTTCACCGCCCTGGGCTTGAAAGCTGAGCTGTGTCACCTACAGAGCGTCCTTGCTGTTAGCAGGTCACCAAGGAGAACTTGAGGGGGTGCCAGGGGGTAAGCGGCCAGCTCTCAAATGCTTCAGAAAGAAGACAATTGTAATATACCTACATATATATAGAGAGAGATGGAGAGAGGGAGAGAGACAGAGACAGAGACAGAGACAGAGAGAGACAGAGAGAGGGAGGAAGGAAGAGGTGGAGAGGAGGGGGAGGCGCAAACTCCACAAGAATCAAGGACAGAGAGTCCAGGAGAAGGTTGTACTAAAGTTGCTGTACTATTCTTACCACTCTTCTGTAAATTTGAGGGTTTTTACAAAATAAAAAGTTAAAAGAAAGCAACAGACCAGCTGTGCACACAGCAGCACAAACAGATCTACAAAACATGATGAAAAAGTAAAGCAGAATGCAATCCTTAGGACGGTATTTTTCGTGCAAATTAAAAATACATGCAAACAAAACAACAATATATGTGCAACAGAACAAACAGATGTGAGGCAGCCTGTGGGGTGGTGTGGACAGGACAGGGACAATCAAGACTATTGGTAAATCAGCCTCGAGGGGGCATGACCCCTCAGGCAAGAATTCGCCCTGTGCCTCCAGATCAGAACTACAGCACACAGCAGCATTGGAGCCCCTCCATGTCTCCCAGAGCCCCCTGTAGCTCCTCCAGTCACACCGGCCTCCTGCTTCCTGCCTCAGGGCCTTTGCACTGGCTGTTCCCTGGGCCTCCCTGACCTCCATGCCCCCACCTCACACACAGCTGACCCCTATCTTCCCCATCCCCCCACAGCAGGCGGCACCTTCTCACGCACCAGTCCCCACCGAGGCCCACCCCAGGTATCTACGGAGGCCTCCCCAGTGTGCTCCTCAGCCACTGCCATGCGGGCCACCTTGGAGATGATGGGCGCCACGTTGGTGGGGCTGTAGAGCTGGACCCTGGGCAGGCAGTTCTGGTAGGCCTCCACCATGCCCTAGATTCCTGTGGAGAGAGGGGGTGAGCCCGGCCCCGCTGCAACCCCGCCCCCTGCACAGCTCATGCTTCTACCTTCACACTCATCGTCCTCAGGGTTGAAATTGATGGCAAAGTCGTGGGACACCTGGGTAGGCACAAAGGGGACCTGTCAGCTGGTCCACTCTCCCCAGACTCCTACACCTTCACCTACTGGGAGAGGTAGGTTTGAAGCCCCTGGGGCCACCAGGTGGAAAGAGCCTTATGGAAGGGAGTCACCCAGGACAAAGCACAGACAGACAGACCAGTCCTGGGCATCATTTCAGCCCCTGGATCCAGCGGGACCCAAAGCTTCTGAGTTGCATTAGCCAATATCCCCCACACACCCCGCCCCCCAACCATGTTTTTCTGCTTAAGCTAGTTGAACTGCTATTTGTAATCTCTCTTCTCTTGACAGGACACGGAGCTTGCCTTCCGTTCTCCCAGAGATCGCTAGTGCTGGGAGGTGAAGGGTTAGCCCCTCTGGCTGGAAGGCCAGGGTCCCTGCACCCTCCCCACGCCCTCCCATAGTTGCCGTTCTCAGCAGGGAGAGACAGCAGCCTGGGGGTCCCAGGTCCCAGGGCACAGAAGGAGCACGGCCTGGAGGCCCTGACAGACGCGGGGGGTTGGGGTCCCAGCTTCCAGGCTCTCCTACCTCATACTTGGGAGGAATCCAGGCTCCAAACCCCAAAGCAGAAAACCTCTTGTCACTAGAAGAGAGGTGGCCCCATCACACAGGACCCCTGATTCCTGGGGGAGGATTGGGGGTGCTCTGGGGAGACACCAGCTGGAGCCAGGAGACCAGGGCTCTATGCCCCCATGTGTGACCTGGGCCCAGGCTGACACTTTACTGGGGGCCAGGCCCTGCCGTGAGCCACGTGGGGGAAACTGAGGCACAGAGCATGAAGAAACTGTCTGCCAGGCAGGTAGGTGGGGGGCGGAGCCAACCGGATGGCTCTGAGCCACTTCAAGTTCCCCTCCTCCGCTCTGCGCCTTTGCTCCAGGCATCCGGGAAGGTTTCAGCCTCCTGCCTGCAGGCCCTCGGCCCCCATCACTACCCTAGATGGGAGGCTCTACCCCTCCACGACCTCAGTTTACTGGTCTGTATAGTGGGACACAGACCCCCATGTCGGTGTGGAGGGTGATGGGGAGCGTGTAGAGGAGGGCCAGTCCCACCTCGACGCATGGTGGTTCTGACCCACTCACGCTCCACCTCAGGGAGCTGGACCCGCCCACAGGGATCAGACACTCAGGGCCGCCTGGGTAGGGGAAGCAGGGGTGGGGGGGTACCTGTCATAGTCTTGGCACATCTCACCCACAGCCGCCAGGGCCTGTAGGTGCTCATTGGGCTGGAAGGGGTTGTTGTAGTGCAGGGAGCAGCTGTTCCGGGGGTCACCATTGGAGGCCGTGAAGTCGATGGCCACCTGCAGAGGCCCCAGCACCATGAGCCAGGAGCCCCTCTCCCACCTGGACCCTCCATTTGACAGGTAAGGGAAATTGAGCCTTGAGAACCGCTGAGTGAGGGAATGTACCCCCAGGGGTGAGAGCCCAAGGGCCCGGCTCTGTGCTGCGGTGGAGGTCAGAGGACAATTTGAGGAGAACAGACGTCCAACCTGACCAGCAAACCCAGACCCCACTAACCCCAAAGCTCCCAGGATCCCCAGGAGGAGGCGAGTGCCTCTGGAGGTAACACTCGCTGATGCCCACAGGGATGAACGCGGTCACGCGGAACCCTCAGCACCTCCTGCGGCATCACAGGCCCAGGGCCCGGCCCAGGCACTGCTCCCCTCTGCCGCCTCCCTCCCCAGGCAGGGCCTCGGGAGGAGCCAGCCCTGGGCTAGGTCCCCGTGTTCTCCCAGCCATTCTGGCTGTGGGTCAGTGGAGCAACATGAACCAGTGCATCTGTGGACGAGCATGGAGGCCACACGGAAGGAACGGACACCAGGTTTTCGGTCCAGCTCCGCTGCTGCCTGCGGTTCCCAGCCCATGGCCACACCCGCTTGGTCTTGCAGCTTGTGATGTCCTGTCCCTATGAGTCCTCTTTCCTCGTATATGTTTTTGTCACTATGTTTCTGTGGAGGGTAAATCCTGGCTACGTCCCTCCCAAGGATGACCCCGGGCAGCTCCTGAACCCGCTGTGCCCGTTTCATCTGCACAGGGAGAAGGCGCAGGAAGGACTTCGCGCCCAGGGGGCAGGGGTGGAACCTCCAGACCCTGCGGAACGGCCTCGCTGTACCCATTTCTCTGCACACATCCACCCCAAGTGCCAAACGGACTCTGAATTATGTCCAGGTTGGGGAAGGGTCACTTAGGACCCCTGGGGGAGGCGCAGGCGCTGACCCCCCTTCCTGCTGGGGTGCACTCTGGCTGGCTGCATGGAGGGGCCAACGGGGGCAGGGTGGAGAGTGGGGCCCCGTGGACTCACGGTGAAGTGGATCTGGCAGCCGCCCATGATGTAGTCCAGGAAAGAATAGACCCCGTGGAACTTCCAGGCAGCAGTGTCGGCAACCCACCCAGGACACTCCAACCCCAGGACATAGGCTGGGGCTGCAGGGAGCAGGGAGTGGGGCCCGGGGACCTGCCCTCCCCCAGGGCGACTGGGGCAGGAGTGGGCAGGCCATGCCCTCCTCTCTCAGACTCTCAGCACCTCTCTCCAAGTTCCCCCTCTGCCCTGGGGCTCCCCGCCTTTCTCTTCTCTGACTCCCCCACCTCCATCCCTCGCACCTCCTTCCCCCACGTATCAGGGACCACCAGACCTTTGCGCCGGGAGCTTTTCAGGGTCCATGTGGCAATGGGGAGACTTCCAGGGAGGGGCCTGGTGGGAGCCCTGTGGGTGGGTGGGGAGGGTCTGTGGGCAGGGGCCACGGCTCACCTTCAGGTCTGCCAGGATGACCACCCCAGCGTTCTTGTAATTACGCTTCTTCTGCTTGTACTTGGCATTCACGCAGTCCCACTTTGCCTGGGGGGCAAGGACAGGCAGAGACCCCACCCCAGAGGGCCAGCACCCAGCCCCACCCCAAGGGAGCCAGGGAGGCCTGCAAACCCCGCTGTGACCTCACTCCAAACTGAGCTCAGGGGCTGCGGCGGGCTGGCAGTACATCCAGGGGTCTCTCCTTGTCCCTCACTTCCACCTAGTCCCCCAGTTCCCAGTCATTTGTCTGGCACGGTCCCCACCTCGCCCCGACACACCGGCTCTCTCACGCACACACTCTCACACGCCCCAGCCAGGGGCCCCGGGTCCCAGTCCAAAACACGGAGATCCTTGTCCCTACTCTGGCCACCTGGTGAGATGGTGTTCATTCTTCATCATCATCATTAGTTGTCTCTGGGTTATGCCCATAGCAACAATTCTGGAGCCAGCACCCCTCTGCGGTCTGCGGCTCGCTCCTCCTGGCAGCCCCATCGCAGACGGGTCAGGAGCCAGGTTTCACCCGGTTCTGAGAGCCTCAGTGACAGGCAGGGGAAAGGAAGGGCCCCAGCTCACCTGGTCCTCCCCAAAGACTTTCTGCATCTCCTCAAAGGTGGTGGAGAATTCTCCGATGAAGTCGTGCTTCCCGCGGGAGTCATAATCCCAGACAAGGCACTGGGGACCCAGGCCCCTCAGCCCGCCTGCCCCTCTCTGGCCTCCAGCCTGGGTGTCTCCATCCCGCCCACGGCCAGGCTGCCCCCCTCACCACCACCCCCAACTGGCCCACCCCCTCCCCACGAACCTCAACTCCACAAAGGCCCCAGTGTGGTGGGGGGTGACTGGCCCCTGGCCCCCTGGTCCTGCCCCCCGGCACCCCCCGCCCGGCCGTCTCCCACCTTCAGAGGCCGCGTCTCCTCGCAGCTGCACAGGGAGCTCAGCGACACCTTAAAGGGCTCCCACACCGGGCTGAGGTTGTTGTTCACCACCTGCGAGCGGGCAGAGGGGCTGACTCAGGCGGCCTACCTGGGCTCGCGCAGGACGGGAGCCCAGAGCTGCATTTCCAGCCGCTTCCTTTGGGAACCACCTTCCTAACTTCCACAACATTCCTGGACCACCTGGACCCCTTTTTTCCTTAAATAGCCTCTGTTCTACTCAAGTTAATTTATCCCTAAAGGAAATGCTCTCAGTGCTGTCACTGAAATGCCGTTACTCCTGAGGCGGTGACGACAAACCAAGATTCTTGAATTCTAGTGACAGACGCTCCCTCCTGGCCTGCTCGCTCCCTGCGAAAGGGAGATGGGGGTGTCGGAGTGAAGACCCCGACAGCCATGGGGGCCCCGGGGGACACAGGGGGTGATGCCGGTCAGCTCCCCCGCTGCCCTTTCACTCCTGCCCCCAAAGCACTGCAGGGGATGTCAGCTCCAAGGGTGCCGGGCAGGGCCCTCACCTCTGTCCTGGACACCAGCTGCTCACTCTGGTCCTCCTTGATCTGGTACAGCTCCAGGAAGCGGTCGGACTTGCTGAAGAGATCCTACAGGAGAGCGGCCGGCGTGCTCGGCCATTTCCTGCTGTGTCCCTTCACCCCTCAGAGCCTCTGTCTCCTCGGCTGCAAGATGAGGGCAGAGCCCTTCTGGACAGCATCTCAGAGAGACCCAAGGCCTCACCCTCCCCTCAAGAGCCTTCACCGGCTCCCCAGTACCTCGCTATGACTCCCAGACCCCAGGTCTGGCCCAGCCTCTCTCCAGCCACGTGTGCACACCCCCAGCCAGCACCACCTGCTGTCCCCACCTCCTCCCCAGGCTTCAATCTCCTGTCCAGGGGAGGCGGCAGGCGACACCCTATACCCCTGCTCTGTGCCCCGACCCCGTGGAAGGAGCTGACAGAACAGAGTTCAGATCCAATTCCTCCACTGTCTAGACAGGGACCTCCTGAGCCTGTGTCCCCATCACTAAACGGCCGCGAGTGCCCCTGCCATTGGGAGCTGCGAGGATTAAATGAGATACTGCAGGAAAACGCCCGGGGAGCAGGACATCGCATCAAAGTGCTAACAGCAATGACAGATGCGGTAACCGTGACAGCAGCATGCCTGCCTGGCGGCCACACAGCTCTAACTGCTTCTCACTCGACGTGTCCCCTGTTTCCCCTCAGCCAGCTCTGTCCTGCACCATCTTACAGGTGGGTCCTGTGATGCGGGAGGGCAAAGCTGGGCAGGGGCTTGGCTTCTCCATCCCCGTCCAGGCCCCCAGCCCCAGGCGGGCACCACCCCCTACCTTGTCGTCCAGCTCCTTGGCCCTGAAGGAGAGCTCCACATAGCCATTGTTCCCAGAGATGTCCTTGGCGATCGCCTGGCACCTGGTGGGGAGAAGCCACAGCTCTGAGCACGAGGGCACAGCCTGACCCTGCCGTGGGGCCCCCACCACTCCCCACCTGACTACAGCTCGGCCTGAGGGGAGGCAACTGGCTGCTCAGGCAGCTGTGCAGCTGCGGGCTCAGCCCTCATCCTCCAGGACTGGACCCCTTACGGCCTCGGCGAGGAAGGGGCGGGTGTCTGAAGGGTGGGGAGGGGCTAGGTGGGAAGGCGGGTGGCCTCACCGTGATGGTGGACTTGCCGGCGTTCCTGCCAAACTTCAGCAAGAGTGCGCGGGTCATCTTCTTCTGGGCCACAATCTGGGAGTCAGAAGAGTCAGGGAGGGGTCAGCTCCTGCTCCCCTGGGAACCCTCACCCGACCCTCAGTCCCCCATCTCCTCCCCAACACCCCCGCTCTCCCCAGGCGGCCTAGCTCCTCAAAACCTACTCCCTAGGGCCCCACGTCCTCGGGGCCGGGCAGTGACCAGCCCACGACCCTCTCTTGAGACACTCGGCCACCTGACATCCCTCTGTGTGGCCACCACCCCTCGCTCTGCTGGGCGCCTGCACTTCCCTCACCCTCGTGGGCCCTCCCATGGCCCGTGTATCAGGTGACGAAACTGAGGCTCAGAGAGGAGGCAGCACTGCCACGGTCAGGAAGCAGCTCACACAGCTCATGCTGGCGAGCAGGTGTGCGAGCCGCCGCACAAGTGTGTGCGTGTTAGTGCACTGACCCCTGAAGCCTCAGCACCCCAGCAGTAGGGCCTGTGTTGGGCCATCCGCAGATCAGGCCCAGAAGGCAGCGCAGGCCTTCTTACAGCCCACAGTGGGCATGAGGCCCAGGGGGGTCCCAGGCCCCACCCTGAAGCCCCAGGCTGCCCTGGGGGTGGCGCAGGGACAGGAGTGAGATGGAGACGCAGCCTGGCCTCCCACCATCCTCCCGTTAGCGCAGGGCACTCTGCAACGTGGGCACTAGTGCTGCACCCTCCCCAGTGTCTCATCCCCCCGGCCTCCCCCTCCTCTTTGCCAGGCCCTGCTGGGCTGCCTCCCCCACTGGGCAGTGAGCCCCTAATTGGGGCAGGGGAGCGGACGCAGGGACGCCATATGCAGTCACAGGGCAGCACCCAGGTGAGCGGGCATCCTGGTCTGTAAACAGGACAGAGGATGATAGCCCCCTCACAGCTGCTGGAGGATCAGTGACTTGGTCAGGGACTCCACCCTTCTCTGGCGGTGATCCTCAGCTATCGCCAACTTGCCTCGCCCCTGCCCCACACGGGCTCCTGCCTGACGGAGCTGGGGTGACCATGGCAAAGTGAGCTGCATACAGACAGGAGGAAGGATATTCCCATCCACCCACCCATCAGGGTCTGCCTGGCGTACAGCTTCCGAGCAGACGGGAACATTCCCTGTGGAAGAGAAAACAGATCCCAGGTAGGTGGCGGGGAGGACAAGTGGGCCGGGGCGGGAAAGCTTTCTGCCAGGTGCGAAGGGAGGGGTGCTGCATGCCAGGCCCCCGAGTCTCCCATTCGCAGGCTTCACTTCTGGGGCTCTCCTATTAGGAAAAGGGATCGCGGGTTCGCCATAACAGTTAGCGGTCAGTAAGCACATCTCTCAAGCTGGCTCTGGGCCGAGCGTGCCTGGTTTACTTCAGTCCCCTCACAACCCGCTGAGGAGGCTGGTGCCGTCACCGTCCAGTTTCCCAGATGAGGAAACAGGGGTCCAGGCAGAGGTCAGGGACTTGCTCAAGGTCACGCCACTGGGATTTGAAGCCAGTGTCCATGGCTTGACCACTGACTGCAGCTCCCCTAACGGCCGTGCAGACCTGGAGACCAGGATGGCTACAGAGCAGGGACTCGCAGGGCGTTCCATTGTCTAAAGTTTACACGTCTATACAGACATGTGTGTGTCCATGCGTGTCCATGCACATATCTGTATGTGTGTTCATGGATCTGTACCTGTGTGCATGCACGTGTCCACACGTGGGTGTCCCTGCATGTATGTCAATACGTGTGCCCACGCATGTGTATTCATGTGTGTCCACACATGTGTGTCTGTGTGTGTGTGCTGTCCTCTCCCATGCCCAAAACCAGCTCTGACCCAGGCAGCAATGGGATGGTTCACACAAACATCACGTTGGTCAGAGACACGGACACAAATGAGAACATACTGTATGATTCACAGCCATGAAATTCTAGAACATCAAAGCCAGCAGGGATTGGCTGGAGAGGAGTGGGGGGACCTGCAGGGCGATGAATGTTCTGTGGGATCTGGGGGATGGTCAGAGGTACACAGTTGTCTAAAACTCATCAATGTCAATCCTTAAGGTCCACACATTTTAAAGTGTGTAAATTACTCCTCAATAAAGAAGAAACACCCCCACAGGGAGTGGTGAGAACTAACTGTGCAGCCTGGGAAGCGCTGGGCGCGGAGCCCGGCACCTTAGCGTCTGGCCGGCAGCTGAAGAGCTCTCATTACACTGATAATGGAGGAGCTAATGGGGGGACACCTTCAGAGGACTGCAAACACATCCCTCAGGTGGGAGCTGGACAGACAACAGAGCAGCCACTGATGGGCCAGCCACTCTGCCGCCGGGAGAGACAAGGAGACTCATGTGCTGAAATGGAAGGTCTCCTTCCATGTCATGGAAGTGAAAAGAGCAAGTTGCAGAACAGTGTATTTAATTTGTGTTTTGAAATGTATATATATAGAGAAAAAATCATATGCTCATTTCTTCGGGTGAGAATACACCTGTCCTGTAGGATGTAACAGAACCTGGGGACAGGGTCAGAGGGAGACATTCCATGGCCTGCCTTTATGCTTTCTGAATTTTGAACTATATGAATGTATCACCCAGTTCAAAATTACATATTTTTAAAAATAACTAACAAGGAATTTTTTAAGAGAAGGAGCTATGGAGATGGGCAGAGCCTGGATGCTCATCCAGAGGGAGCCCTGTAGTGCCTGGCACACAGTTGGTGTTTAATCATGTTGTCCCCATGCCACCATCTCATCGCACCTGCCCTCAGAACCAGCCCAGGGGCCCCTGCCCCACTGGGTCTCTCCTGCCTCCTCCCTCCTGAGATGGTGGGGGGCACCCACCTGGCCCAGGGTGCACTCCATGCCTCCCAGGAAGTCGTCATCCTGACAGCCACGGCTGCTGGGTCGGCGGGTGTCATAGACCGTGAAGCGCAGCTTCTGCACCTCCTCAAAGTAGTAGTCGAGCGAGAAGACCTTGGAGAACACGGGGTGCAGGCTGCTCCAGACCACCTCGGTTCTATCTACCTGCAAGCAGCCTGAGGTGAGCAGACCCCACACGGAAGGGGCTTCCACCTGGGCACAGTGGCTTCAGGGTCCCCTCTCCCACTTATCCGCCCTAGGGTGCTCCTGGAGGACTCGCTTCCAGGCCACGCCGTGGGAAGATCCCCGCCACCCTGTACCCCACCCATCAGGATTTCAACTCCCACGTGCTGCTGCCAGGCTTCTGGCCACCCCTGGGGGGTCACTCCAAGACCCCTGGGCACCTCCCTCCCTGAAATAAAGGCACACATTCCCCGGCCGGCCATGGGCTGCAGCTTCTCTGCATCTTCTCATCTCATGCCCACCATGGTCTGCTCTACCCCCACATCACAGATGGGGAAACTGAGGCTCAGATTGGGGAAGGGTCATGCCCAAGGGCACCCAGAGTCAAAGACAGAGTCGGCTTGGAGCCCTGGGCTGGGCAAACCCAGAGCGGAGATCTCTCCCCAGCACCCCTCAGCTGGGCAGGCAGGGAAAATGGGGGGGAGCACAGATTCCACCGGGGTTCAGCTCTCTCCTCCGTCTGAGTCCTCCTGCCCCCAAAAGCACAATTGGGCTTGGGGGGAGGTTTCTGTGCTACTCTTCAGGGTTCCACAGACTCCTGCACCCCCAGATGGAGGGTTGCAGGGGCCCTCCCTCCCAGGGATGTCTGCACCAGGCAGTGCTCAGGCCAAGCAACAAAGGCTCGCAGGGTGTTTGGGGCACAGGGGCCCCTGCTCGCAGATCCTCCCCGTGTCCCCGTCCCCACAGACCCTGGGCTGCGCCAGCCTTTCACCCCGGCTCGATGACCACGGGGTTTGTTGGCTATAGAATGCTGGTGGCCCAGAGATGACAGGAGACACACAAGGTCACAGCGGGTCCAGGAAGCCGGCGCTGCGCAGCCTCCGACCGTCAGCGGCCAGGCCCCCAACGGTCCCCCCCGCCGCCCCCCCGCCCCAGGTCCCCACCGCCCCGACCGCACTGCCACCCCGGCCAGGGGCGCGGGGAGGGACCCGCGCAGGGAGCGCGCTCGCGCCGGGTCGAACTCGGGTTCGGTTCCGGAGCCCCGGCTCCACCGCGTCTTCCACCCTCCACTCCGCCGCTCGCGCCCGCTGTCTCGCCCTTTCGAGGTGATGCTGCGCGTCTCCACGAGACGGTGACCGTGCAGCGAAGAGCGCCCCGAACTGTCTCCGCGGGGAGGGCTGGGCCGGGGGTCGAGGGCGGGGACAGTGGGGAGACCCCGCTCCCGCGCAGGCGCCCGGCCACCCCAGGAATTGAGGGTGTTGAAGAAGAACCCGCGTCGCCGAGACCCGCCGCCCAGAGCCAGGTCCCGGGGCACGAACGACCCATCCCGACCGCGGCCACACGCGCCCCGCTGGCCGGTCACCGGGGTCGCTGGAGACCCGCGCTCGAGTCTGCAGAACAGGAGGAGCTGGACAGGCGGGGAACCCTCCAGCGGGGCGTCCCGAAACTCGGGGACAAGTCCCGGCTCCGGAGGGAGCTCCCGGCCCTGGTCAGCCGCTCCCCCGTACCTGCCCCCCCGCCTGAGGACCCGCGGCCCCGGTGCCTCTGCCTCGCGGACGAGGACCTGGCACAAGCGGCGCTCCGGATGCCCCGCGGGCCAGACGGGAACCTATGACCCCAGTCCAACCCCCGGACCTCACTGGGTGACTTGGTGAATGGGTGCCGGCAGCTCAGCCACAGCTCCACTTTCCAGGCGCAGGGCGCGGGCACCACGCCGGGGGCCCCCGCCACCCCGCGCTCCGAGCCCGCGCTCATGTTCCCGGCGCCGCGCTCGGGGACCGGCTGGGCGCACCAAGGGGCTGCTGCCCGCGGGTCGGCGCTGCCGCCGCGCCGGGAAATGATGGCCGGACCAGGCGCGGCCGCACTTCCCCGCACGCCCGCCGGGCGCGGGCACACGTGGCTCCCGCGGCCGCCACCACGCGGGGACTGAAGGGGCGCCGGGGAGGGGGACAGAGGAGAGGGCAGCGGAAGGGAGAGGCCTGGGCCGGGGCGGGCCGTCGAGGGGGAGTCGTGTAGGGCCGGGCCTAGGAGGGGCGGCGGGGAAGCTGTGGCCCCAGAGGGGGCGCGGCGAGGCGGGGCTCGAGGCGGCGGCCTCAGCCCCCCAGCAGTCCCGCATTCCTCCTCGGTGTTGCCCGGGTTGGCCAGGTTCAAATCTTCCAGGAAACCCTGGGCGGAGACGTTCGGGGTCTGGCTGGGGTTCACCCTCCTGGGCTTGCATAGCCCCGCAGGCCCCCTAGGCAGGGTGCGCTCCAGCTCTGAGCTGTCCCCGCCTGGGCATGGGGTCCCCCGCAGGCAGCCCTTAGGGAGCCCCAGTTGAGCACCTAATTCCCCCGCCCCTGCTCCATCTCTGGGACCTCACTTTCAGGCCCCCCCCACCGCGCATTTGGTGATGGCCGCCTCAATTAACAAGCATTTAGTGGACTCCTGTTGTATGCCAGGCACCTCACTGGGCTGGGGCTGGAGACAGGAAGAACCCTCCCTGCTTTCTGGAACCTGGAGTACAAGAGCGGGTGTAGCCCCTCACTGTCCTGGGGGTGTCTGGGCTGAGAGTCAGAGTCTGACCATGACCGGCCTGGCAGCCCTTCCACACCTGTCATTCCGCAGCTGATGGGAACAGGCCTGGGCTCCATGGGAAGGGGTCCCACTCCACCCTGAGCTTCACCCCCACTCTGGACTACCTGGTCCTGGCTGCAGAAGCCAGGTGGAAGAGGAGGTGTTGGCAGAGTCAGAAACCGCCTCCCAGCCTCTCTGCCAATTTCCGCCTAAAAATAGGGCATAGACCTGGCCTTTCAAAAGCCCTGGTGGGAAGGGGACAGGAAGAAGGCTTAGGATGAAGGGGACCCGAGGACCAGGGGAGCAGACACCAGATGTCAGGCGTGCCAGGCTCTGTGCCCTCCCATGGCTCAGGCTCAGGCTTGGCCACCAGGACTCCAGAAGAAGATCCTGGGGTCAGAGGGCCCATGAACGACAGGACAAGGATGCTCCCCAGGTGGGGTCGGGCGGTGGGAGGTCGAGACCGCAGCCTCAGCCAAGGAGTCCCCATTGGTGGGCCTGGCTGTGGGATGATGGGATTGCACCCAGGCCCACCTGGAAGGCAAAGACCACATGCCAGGTTTGCAGAGAAGGGAAATGCTTTGTGGCCGGGCTGTGTGAGTTGGACTCCAAGCACCCAGGCTTGCTTCCTGAGCCCCCGGCTAAAGAGGCGAGGGATGGAGGCCAATCTGGAGCCCCCTTCTTCCGCCTCACCCAGCCCCTCTGTCACCCCGTCTAGGAAGCTGGCCCAGGTTCAGACAGCTTCAGAAACCAGCTGTCGGAGAGCCCACTTCCCTCTGTGGAGACCAGCCTGGAGCTGCTCTGGGCTCCCAGCCCCTGCGTCTTTCCCAGTCCAGCTTCCCAGAGTGGGGGGGAGTCCACTAGCCGTGCATGTGGGCTTGTGGTGGTGGCTCTGGGCTTGCAGGGGCCCCAGGTCCTCCCAGACCCCAATTCCCCAGGACACCTGCCCCACCCACCCTGGGCGAGGCCCCTCGGCCTCTCTGAGCTTCTGTGGGGATCAGGATGGGAAACCTAGGTGAGGGGCTGGGCTCCAGTGGGCACACAGCCCCACACAGGCAGGGCCAGGGCTCCTGGGAGGCTCAGGGTCTTCCCCTTGGGGGCCTTTCTCCCGAGGACTGGTTCCCCCAACGTCTTCACGGCTTGGTGTCTACCTCTGGCAAGGGTCCAGATCTCTACCAGGTGTGGACAGCTGGCCATGCACTTTCCACGCTGATGGCGATGGTTAAGGCAGTGACCCTCCCAACAGCCCGTTCCACAGACAAGGAATGGGGGGCTGCCAAAAGTTCAGAAACCAGCCCAAGGCCGCCCGGTTCGCTGGGGGTGCAGGGCTCACGCCCGCCCGCCCGGTTTGGCTCATCACCGTCACCCACACGCACCACGGTGAGCAGCAGGTGGCATTTCCTGAGGCGGAGAGAGGAAGAATGCAGTTTGGGATTTGGAGTCTCTCAGGTCCACTGGGGTCTCCAGCCACAGCCTCACAGGTGTGGCTGCCTCCGCAGGGTGACCCTGGGCCTCAGCCCCAGAGTGGAGTCAGGAGGAGAGGCCGGCACATCGGCTCCAGACAGCACTCATGGAGAGAAACCGCAGAGGAAAAGGCCGATTCCCCGTAGCCCTGGTCTGCGATGCCTGGGCCAGTGCGGCCTCTGGAGGGTCCCAGAGAGGCGGCCGGGTCATAGGATTCCACCTGCCCCTCCTCACCAGCATCCCACAAAGGCCCCAGGGACAAGGGAGGGCCCGAAGCCAGACGCAGGAAATGATGTCCCCCTCATGCATTTTGTTGTTCTGGTTGTGCAGGAAATAACAACACATGTTCCTGTTGAAATACAGAAAGTGGAGATAAGCAAGTAAAAATAACCTCCAGCGCCCGGACACAATGCTCTCAACATTTTGGTGTCTGTCCCTCCAGCTTTTGTTCCATGCAAACCTGTTTGCATTAATTCTAAAAGTTGCCTCCAACCCTCAAAGCCCTCACCACAGGAGGCTCGTCAGATGCCAGCTTGGGGACCATGCTGTCGTCGCACAGCCGGGCTTGCGCGACCCTGGGCCGAGGACTGTGCCTGGCCTACAGTAGGTGTCCTGTGGGTGTTTGCTGAATGAGGTTGTTGTGGGTACTGTTTCTGTTCTATAACCTGTTTTTTTCTTTTTTTATTAACAACATCATATGGCCTTCTTCCATGCCGTAGACTGAATGTCTGTGTCCCCCAAAATTCATCTGTTGAAATCCTGACCGCTAATGTGATGTGTTAGGAGGCGGGGCTTAGGTCCTGAGGGCGGAGCTTCATGAATGGGATCAGCGCCCTCATAGCAGCTCCCGGCCCTTCCCCGCGTGAGGACACAGCGAAAAGAGGCGTCTATGAACGGGGAGCCAGCCCTCGCCAGATGCCAAATCTGCCAGCACCTCCGTCTCGGGGCCTCCAGCCTCCAGAACCGTGAGAGGTAAATGTCTATTGATTACAAGCCCCAAGTCTGTGGTATTTTTGTTATAGCAGCCCAAACCAATCGACATTTCTACCTCCAGCAAGGTCAGGGGCTTGGGGAGCTACAGCCCCCAGGGGCCAAATCTGGCAGCTGCCTGTTTTGTAAATAAAGTTTTATTGGAACACAGCCAGGCCCATCTGCTCCCATCTTGTGTGTGGCTGATTTCACTCTACAGAGCAGAGGTGAGTGTGACAGAGACTGAATGGCCCAGAAAGCCTGAAGCACTTACTCCCTGGTCCTTTAGGAAACTGTTTGCCAAGCCCTGGTCTACCGCATCCATCTGACGTCACCAGCTCCTCTGCCTCCCCTTGCACCTGGTTAGGCCAGCTTCCGCCCAGCCCAGGTGCTTGGAGGGGTCACCTGGGGGACCAGCTGATCGAATCCATCGTTCTTAGTGTATTTAACTAACCCTCATGGTTGGCTCTTTAGAAGCTTCCAAATTGTCGAGTTTTGGAGCAACAATGAAGCATCCTTGCTTCAGACAACTTGCCTTTCAGGCCTCAATGCTCTGCAGGCCCTGGTTCCCCCACTGGCCAACTCCTACTTATCCTTCAAAGCCCAGCTCAACCCACTCCACCACCCAATGTCTGCTCTGAGCTCCTGGGCTCAGGCATCAAACATGTGGTCTCAAGCAAGTTCCATAACTGCTCAGTGCCTCAGTCTCCCCATCTGGAAAGTGGGAACGAGAGCAGAGTCACCTCCAGGCTGCACTCAAGTGACATGCCAGCTCAGGGTGAGTCCCCGCATGTGAGACTCAGAGGTGGGACAGGCCGCCCACCACACCCCTCCACCCTCGTCCTTGCTCCTCATCCGTGCAGAGGACCCAGCCCCATGGCCCAGCAAGCCAGGAGGTTGTTTTGGAAGGTGAGTTGAAACCGTAGTGGAGGAGGGTGTTGTTATAACAGGATTTTCCAAAAGGGAACAAGGCTATACACGTTGGCAGGGTGCTGCTGCTTTTTATAACCTGCCTACAAACCTACCCTCTTCCTTTGTTTCTTTCCTCTTGGAGAAACATTATTATGTCTCAGAACATCTGCGACCTGTCTGGATCAGACTGTTTTCCTGCAGGATTGGCATTTATATTACTTCAGAAATCAGAGGGCCGCCCAGCGGGGCCATCCGGGCTGTGACAACACACAGGGCTGTGCTGGGCGCGTCCTCAATCCCTCTGCCAGCTCCTTCCAGCATCAGGGAGCTGGGACTGGGGCAATGAGACTGTTCTCCTCAGCACACTTGGCATGGACTGGAGCAGTGCACGCCACACACACGTACCTGCCCACACCCACCACACACACACCACACACGTACACCATGTGATACCTGCACATATCACACATGCCTGTGCCAAATGCACATGTCAAATGCACGCATGCACACACCGACCACATGCATGCACACATCAAATGCACACAGAGATACGCATGGTGACACAGACACACATGCAGACACACCTGAGCATGCCAGGACATACACATTCAGACACAGGCCACACCTGAGGCGACTCACCTGTCCAACTGGGTGACTCCCCCTCTTGCTAAGTTTTCCCAACACCAGTGTCTTGGATGCTGGTGGGACACTTCTCCAAGGGCATGGTGTCCCTCATCGTGGTGCGCTCTCACCATCTCCTCCTGCCCCAGGGGCCTGCTGTGTCCACTCTACAAATGGCCTGGATTTGAGCTGCTCTGAGCATCCTGTGTCCCTGACAGGCAGGTGACTACATCTGTCTTGTTGATGAAGAGACCACAG